AATTTATTCTCAATCCTTAAGTGCATTTACTAAATTATTTTACAAAATTCAATCAATACCATTGCTTCCTACTTCTTCCCTCTCAGTCGCCTTCACTCAGTAATTTAGTCTTCTAGATTATCCAGTAGGCATATTTCAAGCCTTTCAGTTTATTTTCTTTTCTTGTTTCATTTGCCTCTGTGCTACAGAATATCCTGAACTCTCCTCCAATTCACTTATTCTCTTTGACTTTTAATTTGCAAGTATTTGTTCTTTTTTCTAATTCTACTTTTAACTTAGCCGTAGACTGAAATGATTAAGCCTGTGGAATCAACCACTATTCTGCTTTGAATCCCTGTTCTGCCAATGATTCCTGTGACAACTTGGGCAAGTTATTTCACCTCAGATCCCTCATTTGTATATGATGATAATAACAGTATCTATTTCATAGGACTATTGTCCTGATTAAATGAAATTTAATAACAATATATTTAAAGCATCTAGACTGGTGCCTGGCACTTATTAAGCACTTAATAAAGTTAGCTATTTTAATTTCTAATTTTTCAGAAATACAGCCAAAGAAGGTAGTTGATCCCCTCCTCTTCTGTTTTTCTTTCCCTCCCTCCCTTGAGGGCTGAAATTTTTATTCACATTTCATCTGTGGCTTTATATTGGAAACATTTTTGTGGGAATATTTCTGTGTATGTGTTTCGCAGGTTGAAGACCTGGAAACAAAGTCAGGACCAACTCTCCCCCTAATAACTAGAAAAATGACAAAATATTTTAATGTATTTGAAAGCATCAGAAAGCTACCAAAAGTTATTAGGCTTGAATCCTGGAGATCAACAGAAGAATGAGTAAATACAATGTGAAATATACACATAAAATGAAAAATTATACAGTATTAAAATGGAGTAACTAGATCTATATGCACTGACATGGATAAATTCAAAAACATTCGGTGAAAAAGTACAATATGCAAAATATTATTTGCAGTCTGATATTAATTATGTAAAACACCACACATACACTATGCATTTTCTGTAAGTACAATTTTTTTTAAGGTCTGGAAGGAAAAATACTAAATCCATGAGGGTAGTTAACACATTTACAGGGAGCAAGATTGAACAGGAGCATTTGTCCGATGGGACTTCACTGGTATCTACGATGTTCAAACTTGTAAAAGCCTGAACAATTTTTTGAAGGCTAAAATGAAGTTAGAGTAAAACAAATAATTATGATACACTTAGCTGTATGTGAACTAAGCTCCATTAGAAGCAGAAAGGAGGGATGATGCCCTGTTCCCTGGGGGGCTGGGCCAGGCTCTCCACAGTCCTGTCTGCTATCAGGAACAGGAACCACAAGCAGGGGCCATTGGAACTGGAGATTGGCTTGCTAATAACAGTTATGCTATGAGGGCATATTGTGTGCCTAATGATGTGTATATCCAGGGCTTTGGATTCATTATCTCACTTAATTCTTACAGCAGCCTTTTGAATTAAGTACTGCTATGATTCCCATTCAACAAATGAAAAAGCTAACGCTCAGTCAGGGTAAATAATTTCCCAAGTTACAAACTCGCAGGCGGTAGAGCTATGATTTTAATCCAGGCACATCCGACCCCTGAGCTCAGATTCCTGACAACCCCACTGCAATGTGTGTGTTTGCTGGTAAGCTGAAGTAACATGTCCACACACATATCAGAAAGTTGAGATTAAATCAAACACAATCGCTATGTTTAGAGTATGTGGGATACTTACTCATTAACAAGATGCTGTCCTTATCCCAAGAAAGATGCAACTTACAGAAGCCTGCCCTCTGAGATTTAAACTAGTGAAAATAAATATTTAATGAATGAGAGTAGCTATCTAAAAAATTCACCTTAGGGAACAGATCAAAGCAGGAAGAGATGAGTTGATGCCACACTTCAATCAAGACGTCTGGGGTGAAGTCACATGAAGGCATGATTGCTAAGAGCAATTGGGATTTTAAAATGTTTATATTCTTTGATGCAGTGTTTCTACTTTCTGGAAAATATAGTAGGAGCATAATACTAACTACCTAAAAAGCTTTTTGCATAAATATATTCACACATAAAATGATTTACAATAGCAAAAATGAAAATCAGTCTAAACAGTCAGCACTAGTGAAATGGTCAGGAAAATGGACCTTGCATATGGTGGGAATTATGAGACACACACACTTGAATCCAGTGTAACCCCTTATGCCACTCAGATCCACTCATTCTCTCCCATTATATTGACTCTTATACTATATTAGAGCAATTCTGGGTTTGTTTTGTTTTTGTGTGCAGACAAGACACCCTCACTCCTTCCCTAAGAGGGAGATATAGGTCCAATCAGTCACAGTTGAAATCCCCTGGGATAATTCAAGAATGAGGTTCAGTGAAACAAGAGTCCTTAAAAGACATTCATCATCCATCATCTCTCTCCTGCACCACCCATGCTAAAATTCCCTTATCTCCTACCAGCATTTAGTCTCATGCAGGCTGATTGCCTGGTAGAGTAACCCAGCCCTTCAGGCCCCTGGTTCTCCCTGTGCTTGGTGGGTTGCTGTAATTCCCATTGACTGTAATTATAGGACATAGAAGTACTGAGAGACATCCAAATACATTACCTGAATTTTGGAAATTCTTTTTACTGATCCTTTATACAGAATGAATTCTAGTTCTTCATGCTAATCAGAACTGATTACCCAACCAGTACAATAAAATAAATCCTTCCTTGGTTTACCTGTTCACTGTGGTCTGTGTCCATCCTGGAACCTGCTGACAGTAGCGGTGTATCTACCACAAAAGCTCACACTAACTGCCTTCATTTCTCAACTCAAACTCCTATGAAGGGCCCAGGAAGCCTCCCATGGCTGGTCCCGTCCCCTGTCTCTGCTCTAATCTACTTTCCTGCCGCATTCCTTCTCATTCACTACGCTCAGTCTCACTGGCCTTCTTTCAATTCCTGAATCCTGACAACTCCTTGTGTTTGCTTTTCCTTCTACCTGGACCATTCCTCTTACAGATCATTTAGGTCTCGGCTCCCATATCTTCTCCTCAGAGACCTTTTCTTGACCATCCTATGCAATGCTGTCCCCACCTCCCAGACACCTTCCCATAGAATCCCTCATAAAAGCAGGCCCGGGTGGTCAGGCATGCCCAGACATGTACTGAATCCTAGCAGAGTTTAGGCTCAAACAGGAGTACTCCTAAGAGTCCCTCCCAACCCTGCAGCACATGCATATGGAGCCCTGTCTGCAGTGATTGGTGTATTGTCTCCACCTCCCAGACACTGCCCTGTTGAGGAATAATGGCTGAGAGTGTTCAGAATTGAAGGAAAATACCAAATCTCAAGCAATGTAACTAAAGACAAACACCAAATCTCAAGCAATGAATTTAATTAAAGACAAATCCATACTTCTACTGGAGACATCATAGTGCAATTACAGAACATCAAAGAGAAAGAATGACTTGAAAGAACTTCAAAAGTATTACTTCAGCAAGAAAGAATATGAATCATAAAGGGGAATGAGATGAATCATAAAGGGGAACGAGCAGTGGGCCAAGAGGGCAATAAAACATGTTGGCAAATCTAATATCGATGGATGATAAATCATAACTATTAAGAAGTTAAAAGCATGGAGGTCAGCTTGGGGAGTGGTGTGCACCTGTAGTCCCAGCTACTCAGGAGGCTGCCGTGGGGAGATGGCTTGTACCCAGGAGCTCACAGCTCCAGCGGGTGGGGATCGTGCTCTGCGTTTGAGCCTGGGTGACAGAGAGGGACCCTGTCTCTTAAAAACAAAACAAAACAAACCAAACAAACAAAGAGTGGAGGAGGAACTAAAATTCTAGATGATATTCCACAATAAACTTATATGAATTCCATATAATTCCATGATATGGAAGCTAGGGGGAAAGAGAATGTAGAGGGAAATTAAGTTCAGGCAGGACCGTTATGCTCATGGATTCTGGAAGGTCCTCTGCATGGGTAAGGTGTACGCTCTGTACTGTAGCAGGACGAGCTGCAGACAAAACCTCTGACACCAAGTTGTAGAAGGAAGGGCTTTATTCAGCTGGGAGGATCAGCAAGCTACTGCCTTAAAATCTGAGCTCCCCGAGTGCATAATTTCTGCCCCTTTTAAGGGCTCGCAACGCTAAAGATTTCATATGGAAGGGTCGTGATTGATTTAAGCAAGTAGGGGGTACATGACAGGGGCTGCATGCACTGGTGGTCAGAGAGAAACAGAACAGTGCAGGGAGTTTCACAATGTTCTTCTATACAATGTCTGGAATCTACGAATAACCACGGTTTCTAAGTTATGAGCTGATTTTTAACTACTGGGTTTAGGCCAGACAGGCCCAGGCCTGGTTTTGGGCCTGGCGCCAGGCTGCCTGTCTTTGGTTTTATTTCCTTGTTTTTTCTTAAAACAGGTACTGAGTATAAAACAATATGAGAGGGTCTCTCTCTTTCCTCAGTACCTTTGCTTTTGGTGTCTTTTCTTCTCCTCCATGGACGCTGCCTGTGTTAGGATCCACTTCTCCTGTGACAAGAAGATGGAAACCCTTTGCCCCAATCGGAGTACACTCCATCCCCAACTTGCCCGCATTTCTTCACACTGATCACTGCAGACAATAGGGCTCCTTATGCATGTGCTACAGGTTGGGAGGGAACAGTTCGGAGCGCCCCTGCCTGAGCCTGAACTCTGCTAGGATTCAGTGCATGTCCGGGCATGCCTGGCCACAGGGCTTGCTTTTGTGAGTGATTCCATGGTAAGGGCACAAAAGAGCACTGGGCACTATGGCAGGCGGGAGCTGTGGGGGCTGGATTAAGAACACAGAACAATAAGATTCATCTTCTGGTCCAGACTCATGGCAAAAAGAGTGATAGGACTATTATCACCATGACCTCTGGGAGACACAGGGGTAGACTTCACTCTGTACTTGTGCCATGTGACCAAGTGTCCCATGAGCTGCCCAAGGTTAGAGATAACCAGGTCTATGCACATTTGTGTCTTTCCACAATGTCAGACTTTTACTGATGCTGTCTCAAACATAAAACATATGAGCTACATGGAGTTCAGCGAGAAGGCAATCCTCCTTAGTACTTCTCATTCACTCAGTTGTCAGAGCCATGGGCACATAGGTCCAAGTCACTCCACAAATCAGTCATTATTGCAAACCATACATAATACTATTTGATCAATATGTAAATGTTATAAATTAAACATTCCACAACAAACAAAGTAACGTTTATCATCAAGAGAGAAGGGATAGAAAAAAACATTAATGAATCAGTCCAGGGCGACCAAAGTAGACAAAATAATCTTCTGGTCTGGCCTGCAGTAGCTGTTGGTCTTGCAAGGAAAAGTCTTTGATGCGGCAGAGCTTTGGGTGGCAGATGCCAGATGCCAAATGCATATCACGAGTGACAGCAAGACGGTGTCTCTAAGGTGGCCTTTTTGAGCAGGTGAGGTCCTGCTCTTTTAATGGCCACCCCAGAGTCCTCTGGTGAGAACTGATAGTGGAAGAGTGTGCTTAGTTATGTCCTTATCTGGTTAGATGTAGTCCTTATTGATCAGGCAAAATATCTGTTCTCTTTTGGCAAGGTGCCTTTTGAAATGTAAGGTGGAGTCTTTTTTGGAGATGGAGTTACTTATGTCACAGGAGCTCTGTACAAAGTGCCACACTTAAGACCACAGAGGGATTCTCTCCCATGGAATACAACTCTGTGGAGCACGAGTCCATTAAACATAGTTTATATTGACAACTGAGAGGACATGCAGGATGACATCAATAGGTGTGGTGGCTAGCTCCAAGATGGTTAGTGGTACCTGTCTCTTGGTATTCACACCCTTGTTCTCCCCACATTGTACCATGGTTAATCTGTGCAACCAATAGCATATGGCAGGTGTGATGGCATGTCACTTCCAAGGCTAAGGCATAAAAGACATCATGGCTTCTTTCTTGCTCTCTTGAAGAGAGTAAGTTGCTGTGTCTTGAGCAGCCTGTGGAGAAGCCTACTTGGTGAGAAACTGAGGGCTCTTGATAACAGACAGAGAGAAACTGAGGCACAGCCATGTGAGTGACTCTCTTGGAAGTAGCTCCTCCAACCCATCAAGTCTTCAGGTGACCGCAGCCCTGGCCATCTTCTTGACTGCAACTTCACAGGAGACCCTGAGCTAGAACCACCCAGCTGAGCCAGTCCTGGATTCCTGACCTTCAGAAATTGTATGAGATAATAAACGTTATCTTAAGGCATTGTAGCAATAGATAACTGATAAAACAACATTCTTCTAGAATAATTTTAAACAAATGGAATTAAATGTAATAAATCCTGTATAAATATTGATAAAACTCTAAATGTGTGAAATGAAAGTAAATGTTTAATAATACTAAGATATATTCAATAGCATGGTGGGGAAAATGTATTATGCAGGAGATATATTGGGAGAATTTATGAGATTTATTTGGGGAACACTGATAATTTCTCACTCTCTCACCTGCAGGAAGAGAATAAGAAGCTACTTTCCAACATAAACCTATTGAGAGGGAACTTCCGGGGCACACTGAGAGAGCTTGGTGTGTGTTCTCTGCAGCTGGGAAGAGGAGATCTTAGAGTCCTGCCTAACTCAGGCCTGAGAAAGCTGAAGTTGCTTGTGGCCAAAAGACAGATGACCTGCATTTCCAGGATTTGTTGGAGGGTTGAAGGTTTTCCATAGAACAAATATTTGCCACTCAGCATAGGGAAAGCCAGGCTGGAGCTCTTTTAAGTTCTTCCCAATAAGATCACATGAAGAGTAAAATTTGTTGGTGTATTGTGGACCACCAGATCAGGGCTGGTGGCAGAGTCAGGGGGTGGCAGCTGGACAAACAGAATCCATTGCCCACATCACAGATCGTGTTGGGCTCTGCTGAACCCAAGGGTTACAAGAGTCTATTTTAGACATCGGCCAGGTCAAAAAGCAAGCCAAGTGAGAACCGTCCTGTCCTCTGACTATCTCTCTTCAACCCTGGTAGGAGAGGAGTTGAATGAAGGAGCAGAAGTCACTGCAACCTCGTTCCTAGATCACAGACTCTCTCACTGCTGGCCCCGGCTGGGGAGCAGCAGGGAGAGGAGAGGGAGGAGTCTTACCTATGGATGAAGTGTGAGGCATTGATGATTATCTTGGCTAGACATCTCTTCTAAGTTTTTTATTATGAGAATTGTTGAACATAAAGAAAGGTGTCCATCACCTAGATGTAATGATTGTTACTGTTTTGCATATTTGCTTCATCTTGTTTTTGCTGAAATGTTGGGGTAGATTGAAGATGTGGTGTTTCACATTTCTGGATACTTCAGACTGCCTCTTCAGAGACTAAGGATGTTTTCGTGCATGCCACAGCAATGCTGTGGGATTAATGATGATTTCTTGGCATCTCCTGGCACTTGTACATATGTGGGTTTCCTAACTGTCTCTAAGGTATGTTTTCATATATAATTGGCTTGTTCATGCCCAGAAAGAAAAACTGGATACTTAACATCTAAACTGAGGCTGTTAATTTATGACTTAAAATGACTCAGAACTGTGCCCAAAGAAAAACCATAATAATTTTATTCAGGAGTGGAGGAATTTTATCCCTGCTGAAAAAAGCTGAAAGACACAACAGAAAACAAGACGAGAATGTGTATTCTCACAATTTCAAAAACAAGAAAAGTTTATGTCTTGTAAGGTGACAGGCACTGCTGGAAAGATGCTGTAATAAGTTTATTCACATCTTTGAAACCCAGATGTTTAAAAACTGCACGGGAACCTTATACATTGCTGATGTGCATGCAAATTGGTGCAAATTCTATGCAGCGTGCTGCAGCTGAATCTATCAAAATTTTTAAAGCATACATTCTTTGATACAACAATCCCTTCCTATAAATAAATTCCTACAGGATTTGTTCTGTACGTATCCTTACCAGTGAAATAACAGTAAAAGGATTTGCCTTGCAGCATTGTTTGTAATAGCCGAAAATTGGAAACTATCTTAAAAGACCATCAGTGAGGGACTAGTTGAATATATGGTTGTATATATTATTATTTTTGTGATATATTACGTGTGTGTGTGTGTGTGTGTGTGTGTGTATGGTGTCTTAGCTCAGGCTGGCATAACAAAATACCATGACCTGGGTGTGTTAAACAGAAGACATTTCTTTCTCCCAGTTCTGGAGACTGGAAAGTTCAAGATCAAGGTTCCTGCTGCTGGGGTTTCTGATGAGTTCCTGGCTTGCAGACTGCCATCTTCTGGCTGTGTCCTCACATGACAGATAGAGAGCTCTTGTGTCTCCTCTTAATAAGCCTTATTCTAGGCATCACCCTTATGACCTCATTCAACTTTAATGACTTCCTCCTCTACATACAGTTACTTTGGGTGTTAGGACTTCAACATATAATTGGGGTGGGAGTCACAATTCAGTCCCTTGCTTGTGGCATGGTATTCCACAACAGAAATGCAATAGAATAAGCTAGCAGAAAGAATGAGGCTATATGTACAGATAGACTGTGAAGTGGAAAACAGCAAAGAACAGGATGAGGTGCTGAGTGCATGAGCTGAGTGCCCACATTTGCCCTCCTTATCCACTCTTGGCCCTTCCCCACCTGTTCCCTGCCCCAGAGTGACCTCTTTAAACTGCATCAATAGACTCTTGTACTCTGCCTCAGGTTGAGTTCAGCCCATGAGGTGCTGCAGCAAAAGATCAGAGGGAGGAGAGGAACGACAGGTGATTATGCCCCTGAACCTCCCTGGAATGCTCCTCCGCTGGCTGTGTTGCTCACACTATGTCACCGTGCCCTCTCACTCAAGTGTTGCTGGCTTTGGGCTTTTCCTACACATTGGTAAAAGCCCATTTATTAAACTCTACTCAGATGACTCACTTTATGTGTGCCATCTGTTTTCTGTCAGGACTCTGGTTGAATCAGTACGTTAGCATTTGTGTTTTTTAAAAAAAAACAACTGGTACGTATGTTTGGAGGGTGGGGTACATGCACTTATTTATGCTTAGAATATCTCTGGAAAAATGCAGAAGAAACTAGTAACAGTGGTTGCCTCGAGGGAAGGAAACTGGGTGGCTGGGAATAGGGGGAGAAGAGGAAGGGATATTTATGTTTGCCGCACCCTTTTTGTTCCTTTTAAATTTTGTACTCTGTGTATGTATTGCTTATTCAAAAATAGGCTTGATTTAATTATTTAAAAATTAAAAAACAAACCTCAGAGGGAGTTGGTGCCAGAAGGCTTCACAGGCAGCCGTCCCTGTAGCACCAGGGTACCTCCCTCCCGAGGGGCGCCTGCCTTTCCTGGCAGATACTCCAAGCTACCAACTAAACAAAAATACAAACAAAAGCATAATTAACAAGCTTCTTCCACTCTGCACTATGTAGATGAGAGGTGCAATGTTCTGAAAAACTTCGGTGCATTAACTCAGACTATTTGCTGATACTCATTGGCAGGCAAGAGGTTCCTACTAAAGGCAGTAATTCGTAACCACCATCAGCATGTGTGCTGACCACACCTTTGTCCCTCCCCCGGTGGAGGTCAGAGCCACAGTGACCAGGATAGAGCCTGCTGGGGATTTTCACTTAGGCCCACCCTCCAATCCCGCTCTGACATCTTTGCCACATGAGGGACTCAAAACCATCGATGGCCTGGTTGAGCAACAGTAACACATCAGGGGGTCAAGCTTGGAGACCACACAGGAAGGCCTTATCTAATTCCTTTGGGCTTGGCTCTTTCTCCTGCTCCTCAGCCATGGCCGACCCATTATTTAGCAACATCTCTATTTTTATCATGCTCATTATACTGCAGTGTTCTTCATTTTCATCTCGTTATTGTTGGCGGGGTCATCCAGCGGCTTTGTCACCCAGGAGACAGGGAAGGAGGCTGCACACTCAGCTCTCTTCCCCAGGCCTGGCTAATCCATCATCTGACAATACATTGTTAGATGTCTGTCTTCTGGTTGTAGGGTGGCCACCGGAGCCTGTGAGTCCTTCCAGTTCTTCTTCCTGCCAGAGATGTCTAGTTTAATCAGCTCCCTGCATCGATCCTTCCCTGCTTAGACAGAAAAACATATCTATATTTTATAGAGAGATATATAACTGATAGAGAAAACAGAACATGCATGCAAATCCTTTGTATGACTCTTTTGGGGGAGTAGTGTCTCGAAGTAACTGACTGCAGTATTGGAAGCATATAGGATAGAATCACTCCTGCCCTAAAGAACACATGTTGCTGCTACTTCCCCAGCTAACATGACACGAGGGCTGTGGATAGAAGTCCCCAGGACATTTTTGCAAAAAGGCTACCATAATTTTGCCCCAGTTCTGCAGCATCGCAAAACTGGTTAGGATCTCAAGGAGGTGACCACAGGAAAGGAGTGGACCAGGCACTGCTGTCAGGGGAATTGATATCCATTGTCTCCACCTGAGGGCCCTGCCCCTCTCTCCTCACATTCTGCTCTCCAGCCCCATAGCGGAGATATAGGGCTCTAAGTCCCAAGCTCTCCCACCCTGTGCCTTTTCTCATATGGTATATCTGCTAGAACTGCTTCTTCTTATCCTGTGAAACCCAGATCTCCACTGCTGCCTCTTTGGTGAACACTTCCTGGATCCCTACCCTATACCCATCCATACCCCTCCAGCAAATCAAAACCCACTTTCCTCTGTGGTCCCATAGCACTTTACCCCTGGAATTGTTGCAGTTGGTTGTCCACTGTCTGACTCTCCCATCGCTTGTGCATCACCAGATTTTGCTGGGTACCTAATGCACAGAACATAGCTTAACTGAATAGTACTACATCCAGAATGCTAATTAGAGATACTTACATAAAGCACTGTCTTAGTCAGTTTGGGCTATTATAACAATTGGGTGGTTTAAACAACAAACATTTATTTCTCACACTTTTAGAGGCTGGCAGTCTTGGGTTCTTGGTGAGATCCCTCTTCCTGGTGAATAGACAGTTGCCTCCTTGTTGTGTCTTCACAAGGTAAAGAGAGCTGTGGTCCCTTCATCCCCTTATAAGGGTTACCCATCATGCACGCTCCACCCTCACAAACTCATCTAAACCTATTTACCTTCCAAAGACCCCCCACTTCCAACTACCATCACACTGGGGATTAGGACATCAACATATGAATTTTGGAGGGACATAAACAGCTCAGAGCAAGCATCTAACAATTTATGGTTTGCTTTTGGGCCAGGCACTGTGCTGAGAACTTCACAGGTGCTATCTCACTTAATCCTCACCACAAGCTACAGTCTCCTCATCCAGCAGCTAGAAGACCAGGGCTAGAAGAGGGTAAGTAACTTAGTCAAGGCCACATGGCTAGAAATGATAAGCAGTTGGACTTACATCCAAGTCTGACTCCACAGCATTTATTTTTTAAACTTTTTAAATTCAAAAATAATACCTGCATATGGTAAAGAATAAAAAGAACCTAACTCCCTTGAAAGATAAAAAGTAAGTGTCCCTACTACCCAGATCATCAACACTTCTCCCAAAAGCAATCACTGTTGTCAACTCCCTTTTTCTTTCTAAAATTAGTCTAAATTTAGTCTATACATATACTCTTCTGTTTGCTTTCACACAGTAGCATATGCTAGATATTCTTCTACACCTTGCTTTGTTTTCACTTTACTTATATCTTGGAGATTGTTTCATTATCAATGGCTACAGATGTAGCCTCATTCTTTTTAACAAATGCAGAGTATTCTATAAATGGATATGCTATAACTTATTTAATCAACCCCTGTCAATGGGCATTCAGTGGTTTCCCATCTTTTGCCATTATATTGGGGCTCTAAAGTGTATCCTTGTCCATAAGTCTTGGCACAAGCTCCATTGCATTTAAATCTTTGCTCCCTCTGGAACTTTTGGCATAATAAATGAGGTTCAGAATCAGTAAAGCATGTGCTTTTGACCACTTACACTCTACGATGCCAAATATCTTACCTGGTGCATAGCAGATGCTTGTAAATGGTTACCAGTAACAATGGCAATAGTGATACTCACAGCAGCATCCAAGGCAGCACAGCCTCAGGGAACGCTGTTGGATATATGAAGAGGCCATTAGTCCACACCATTAAGGAGGGCTACCTGGAAGTCTTCTAACCCTCAGTAAGACGAGGACCTAATAGTCACTTACCCATCAGAATGAATGAGTTTGCAGATCTTTCCTGAGAGTAATTTTTGACATGGGGAGGGAAGAAAGACATCACAAGAATATAGTGATGGGATGCAGCCGAAGGGTACTGACCCAGGATGGAGGAGCTTCTGAAGGCACACTCTTGGTGATTTGTTTAAGGAACTCCTAGTGAACAGTTCAGAAGAACCGCTGTCTGCACAATATTCAGTGGATGCAGACTAACAGGGATGGCCAAGCACCAGAGGAAATGGAGGCAGGTACTTGTGTTAGGAGAGGTGATGGGCAAGGAGACAAAGCCGGCAGGGGCCACACCAGACATCTGAACACAGAACGGACCCTTTGGTTGCATGACAACACACAGGGCTTATGGCAAGCAGTAAGAGGCTCCTTTTGGGGACTGGGTGATGAGACACCTTCACTCCCTAAACCGTTGGTGCACACAATGCAAAGCAGATGCTGCTCTTCAGCTTCGGAGTTGATGGGAACAAACAAATCCCCTGCTGGGTGGAGGTTGGGGTGTCACAGAGAATAACTGATCAGTAGGGTGTGTGTGTCCCCATACTTGGTAGGAAGACTTGGTATTAAGACATCGTAATAACAGCTAATATCAATCATAAACCAGGCCCAGATGTTAATTCATTTCCTTCTCTCAACACCCCTATAAGCGTACTCCCATTTTACACATGAGAAAACTGAGTCACAAAGAAGTTGACCCTCTAGAATTGGAGTCATATAACTTTTGTCTATTATCAAAATTTGGATATCAGTTTGGCTCTGAGGGATGCACTTACAAATGGCTGGCTGTCCCCTAAGATGTGGTCTTCACAAGGAGGGCCCCCAGCAGGGTGATCAGGCTTTAGGTCATGTCTGTGCCTTTTATAAGTCACTTGGCCCCACTCCAGGGACGGGCAGATGTCAGTGCTGCTCTGCTCCTTCCTGGTCCTCCTGGATGAAGATTACAGTGAAGGCACAAGCTGCTTCTCTGAATAATGCAACCATGGAATAGTGGGAGTAAGAGCACTGGACAGAGAGTCAGGAAGCCCAGGTCAGCAGATGGATGAGAGAGCCTAGGAGGAAGGAAGGAGACGGTCAAGCCTTCTGACCCAGCTCTGCAGGAAACCAGCTATGGGCTGAACACAGAGGTCCCCAGATCCATCCGTGTCAAGCAGGCTCCAGTAGGAGTCAGCAAATGCAGGGGTCAGAAAGGGAGGGTGTAGCAGGCCTCTGGCCTCACACCAAAGTCTACTGATTAGATGAGCCAGGACGTGCCATCACAGGGATCACAGCTTGCTTCTGCTTCAACTTGTCAGCAAGCTCTTGCCTCCACCATCCTGAGAGAGGTGGGCTGACTCCTGTGAAAGGCACTTGGGTCATCTTTCAGGGGAATGCTCCTTCCTCCTCCCTGCCCCACCCCCTACCCAGGGCTAGATGGATTTGCTGTGCTCTGATTTTACCATGTCTCCAGACACCTACCAGCTGGCCTGGCCAGGGACAAGCAAAACATGAAGTCAGAAAAGAACAAAGCCAATTTCATTTAGCAGTCCAAGATCTTGACTTCACCAGCCCCAGCCCCCCACCCCCACACCCATCTCTAGCTCACTGCTCAGACAGAGGGAGTCCCCCTTCATCAGCTGCACTTGTGAGAACCACAGTGTCTTCGGGTCCCTGTCCTGGCTCTCATCTGAGGGGTGCTTTGAGCTGTCCTTCTACCCCCGCAGGTTGTCATGGTGACTGCCACTCAAACTCTCCATTGGACAGAGCAGCAGATTGTCTCCATGGTGATCAAAAGGATCTGTGAAGAAAGGATGTTTGGCCTTGGAAACGAACTCATGTTAACACTCCTGGGAAATAAGCCTCTTCCGGGGGCATCAGAAGAGATTCTCTTCCTTGTGACACAGTTCTTCAGCCATTCCACTGGCCCAGAAAGCTTAGCTTTCTAATGGTTGATGCCATCATCTGTGTTAACATTCTAGCCATAGAGGATGCCAACTCCAGATTCCTGGCTGTGCCAAGGAAAACTTGCAAGTCAGGAAAGTATAGCTGAGATGCTGAAAAGCACCTGCCCTTTCAGTGGTCTGCAGCAGCGCCCCCTGCACACCTTCCTCCCCAGTCTCTGTGGAGCCTGGCTTCACTCCCACTCTGACAAGATGCTGGGCCCACTTCTTCCTGATAGGGTGTGAACTGATACAGCTGAAAACAATGCTCTTCCATCACTCCGCCTCAAAACATGTGAATTTTAGGAGAACCTTTGATAACAAAACAAACAAATCTCTACTGTTGCCCAGCAGTCTCTGGTAGATATTTTTCTGCCCCATGTACGCATATTTCTTTTCTATCTTTCATACCTTGAATCTTGGCTGTTGCACAATTAAAGCTCACAGTATAGCAGGGAGGTGGCTAGGGCTCTTTGAAACACCTAGCCCCTTGCTAATCTGACACTTGTACTCCTGGAATCAGGCTGAGCTAGGTCAAAAGAGATTGGCTTTCCTCCCTTTGCCTTTCAGGCAGGAACCATTTCCCTACCTACCTCAGGCAGCCCACAACTTCTTGTCTCTCCCTATCAATACTTGCTTTCAAAGAAGCATCAGAAACCCATTCACACCTGAATGTGGCTAATAACAGATTAAAGTATATTCTTCCCCAGGGAAATCAGAGGTTAAATTGTAAGGAATAATTCTTAAGTGGAATTTAGGCACCAGCTCAAGGATCCGTGCTACAAGAGTACAGTTTGAACTTTACTCTTAGAAAGAAAAAGAAATTACATGGGTCTTCTTTTCTCCAAAGCATTTCTTTTTTTTTTTTTTTTTTTTTTTTTTTTTTTTTTTTTTTTTGAGATGGAGTCTCGCTCTGTCGCCCAGGCTGGAGTGCAGTGGCGCAATCTTGGCTCACTGCAAACTCTGCCTCCCGGGTTCATGCCATTCTCCTGCCTCAGCCTCCCAAGTAGCTGGGACTACAGGCACCCGCCACCATGCCCAGCTAATTTTTTTGTATTTTTAGTAGAGATGGGGTTTCACCGTGTTAGTCACGATGGTCTCGATCTCCTGACCTCATGATCCGCCCACCTCGGCCTCCCAAAGTGCTGGGATTACAGGCGTGAGCCACCATGCCCAGCCTCTCCAAAGCATTTCTTTACACTTGCAGACTCCCTTAGGTGACAAAGGGAGTTGGTTTTGTTTCAGCTCCTATTTCTAAAACCTAGGATGTGATTTGTCATAAAATTCTGCCACACTGAAGCTAGATATAGCAGCACACTAAGAGAACTCTACCTCCACTGCCCAATGGCACTGCTTCCTTCCCAGCTGCCTGGCCCGAGGGCACAAGCATGGTGGTACTCACCAGCATATTCAAGTGGGGCAGCCCACCATAGGCAGCCACTCCCCCAGCTGCCTCCTCATCTTCACCTCCTCTTCGTGACCCTGAGTTTCTCCTAGGATGTCTCACTCGCTAAAAGCAAATCAAAAAGTATTTTTCAGATACACCTAAGTTTGAGTATGAGCTTCGCCACTGATGTCACTGAGTGACTGTCTGCTTGAATTTCTCCAAAAGTAGAGTATAAGACAGGTAAATCCTTTGTGATGTGGCTTTGGGGGCAGCAGGGAGGGGACGGGGAGAGAGATTCAGGTCAGCAAACAGAGCTAATATAAATAAGGATGTGGTGTGGGGTCGCTGCTGTGGGCAACTGGAATCAATTCCACCAGGATCCACTGAGAAATTAACAGAATGTCTTCCTGCCCATGGGAGGAAAACTATTCTCTGTCCCGTGATCGTTAACCCTGTGCTTCTGACTGGTGCATGTTTGAGGTGAGTCTTGGCTCCCTGGGAACCATCCACCTGGGCTGAGCTGGGGGCGCTGGAGGGATGACCACGCTTAGGCAGGTTACCGACCGTTTCCGGAATCTAGGTTCTTCACAGGCAACCTCTGCCTCACAGAGCTGTTATAATCTATAAATGAGAGAACTCCTGAGACACTGTTAGCACAGTGCCTGACCCAAAATAAAAGCTCAATAAATAGCAGCTACTATTCCAGTGCTGCGACTGGAGATGTGGGAGCACCTCTGTTGAGCCCTAAGGCTCTGAGAGTCTGTAGTCCCCACCCCACCCCCATCTCTCCGGCAGGATCCAGATGGGTAGGACTGGAAGTGACACAGGAAATGGCTGCTGAGGAAGCAACCTGATTTCCAGATCTAGGAAACTCCGACAAGTTTTTGCTTATTTCTCAAAAGAAAGACAACCCCATTAGGGCCTGGAGTGCATGAGGCAGAGAGGTCTGTAGCTCCGGAGTGGCCAGGCGGGTGGAATCCTCCACTTTTCTTTCAAAGAAGGAACAGTTTTCTTATATGGTTTGCCACTGCCAATGCACCAGGCTGACCCTTCAGAAGAGGAATTCATTCATTCAGAATTCATTCATTTATTCAACAAGCCTTCACTAAGGACTTCCTATGTGCCAAGCTCCTTGTTGGAAGCAGGGCCTTCAGAAATGAAAGGTAATCCCCAAGCTAAGAACAGAAAGGTACGGCAATGATGCCCATGCACTATAACAAGTGCCACATTAGAGGCTGCCCTGGAAGGTGAATTCCACCAAAGGGAGCAGCCTGTAAAGGTTTCTCGACAAGAAAGGACACAGCACTTGGCACTCATGAGGCCCTATAAGTCATTCAATGGGCATCAGTGATGCTCCTAAGGACAAGTAATGTTTACTAAAAAAAAAAAAAAAAAATTTATAGACTGACCAGGGAAACAGAGGTCAGGATCTGAGAAGAGTTGTCTGCCACACAAGGGAATTTGGCCTCATCCTAAAGCTGATGGAAAGCCACACCAAAGAATGTATTCAGTACCCCTCAGTCCATCCCCTCTGCTGTGGTTTGAATGTCTCCTCTAAAATTCAGGTGTTGAAACTTTTTTTTTTGAGACAGAGTTTCGCTCTTGTTGCCTAGGCTGGAGTGCAATGGCACGATCTCAGCTCACTGCAACCTCTGCCTCCCAGTTTCAAGTGATTCTCCTACCTCAGCCTCCCAAGTATCTGGGATTACATGCATGTGCACCACGCCCCGCTAATTTTGCATCTTTTGTAGAGACCAGGGTTTCACCATGTTGGTCAAGCTGGTCTTGAACTCCTAACCTCAGGTGATCCACCCACCTCAGCCTCCCAAAGTGCTGGGATTATGGGCATGAGCCACAGCACCCAGCCAGGTGTTGAAACTTAATGGCCAGTGTGATGGTATTGATGTGGGACTTTAAGAGGTATTTAGGTCAGGAGGACTCCTCCCCTTGTGAATGGGATTAAGGCCCTTATAAAAGGGGCTTCACAAGCATTCAGCTCTCTTGCCCTTCACTCCTGCCCTGTGAAGACACAGCGTTCCTCCCCTCCAGGGGATGTAGCACCGAGGAGCCATCTTGGAAGCAGAGAGACCAGGTCCTCTGTAGCCAGCACCTTGATCTGGAACTTCCCAGCCTCCAGAACTGTGAGAAGCTGTCTTTTACAGATTACTCCATCTCAGGTATTTTGTTGTAGCAGCACAAATGGACTAAGACACCCCTCATTGTCATAAATGCTGCAACTTCTACATCAACAGTGATGTTCTAATCTATAAATGAAGACAGAATCAAATCAAACAATAGGCCTCTTTGCAAATAAACTTTTGGTAGCTGTTTAAAATCACCACAAACAACCAAGACCTTTCTTCCCTTGCCTTTACTAATTGAAAAATTTTTGGCCAAGCACAGTGGCTCACGCCTGTAATCCCAGCACTTTGAGAGGCCAAGGCAGGCAGATCACTTGAGGCCAGGAGTTCGAGAACAGCCTGGCCAACATGGTGAAACCCCATCTCTGCTAAAAACACAAAAATTAGCTGGGTGTAGTGGTGCGCATCTGTAGTCCCAGCTACTCAGGAGGCTGAGGCATGAGAATCACCTGAAACTGGGAGGCAGAGGTTGCAGTGAGCTGAGATGGTAGCACTGTACTCCATCCTGGGAGACAGAGCAAAACTCTGTCTCAAAAAAAAAATGAGAAGAAAATTGTTCATACACTATCCTGAGTAACCTTTATCCTTTCACTAAGAAAGTTCATAGCATTGCTGTGGAGTCCTAGGTACAATACTGTGATGATTAATACTGAGTGTCAACTTGATTGGATTGAAGGACACAAAGTATTGATCCTGGGTGTGTCTGTGAGGGTGTTGCCAAAAGAGATTAACATTTGAGTCAGTGGGCTGGGGAAGGCAGATCCACCCTTAATCTGGTGGGCACAATCTAATCAGCTTCCAGCAAATATAAAGCAGGCAGAAAAATGTGAAAAGGAGAAATGGGCCTAGCCTCCCCCAGTCTACATCTTTCTCTCATGCTGGATGCTTCCTGCCCTCAAATATTGCACTCCAAGTTCTTCAGTTTTGGGACTGACTGGCTCTCCTTGCTCCTCAGCTTGCAGACAGCCTATTGTGGGACCTTGTGATCCTGTAAGTTAATACTTAATAAAATCCCATATATGGAATATATATATATATCCTATTAGTTCTGTCTCTCTAAGAGAATCTGACTAATA